CGATGCATATATATATATATATATATATATATATATTTATTTTGTAGTGGGCTTTGTGTTTAATTAACTATAATATTTTCATCTCTAAAAATGCTTTTTTTAGTCTTTAGCCTTGCGCTAGCAATGACCTAATCAAAGGTGCGAGCCAAGATTTGCACAACCCGAATGACTCTCGGTACAAATATCGGTTCATTGAGACAATGAAACTAGAAAGAATTATATACAACTTGAAAAAAAAATCAAAGGCTTTCTGAATCCAGTTAGATTGATTGCTGTGTAAATAGCTTAATTATTTTGAAAACACTGTTAATTGCAAGCCAGACATACTCGTGCAGGTGGTAAGTAATTTGGCGATGTTAAATTTCCCTTCTTATGGAACACATGCATAAAAATATGCGGGCGGGCGGGCGGAGTCTAGTGTGCGCTCTCAAATCTCAATTACAGGAAAGGAACCACCGATCTACCGCCATTAGTACAAAGCCATATGTACAGCACTGGTCGTCTGATAATGTTGAAGGACCAGCCATGTAATTAGCATAGGCGCCATAGAAAGAGAAAATAAATAGGAACTTAAACAGCGTATTGAACTATTTGGTTGTGAAAATTAGGTTTAGATTGTGTTCACAATGAGTGGTCTAATAATTAGGAAATTAAAAAACCCTAGTGATTAAACCAACAATGGTGATTAAAAATTGATTGCAGTTTTAGGGTTTTGTTAAAAGGTTTCAGTGAGTGCGTGGATTAAAAAGTTTAGTACGAGTTGTTGAGGAACAAATGCACGCACACGTTAAAGTTTACACAAAAATATATAGTTTCCCCTAAAGAACGAGAGGAAAAAAAGTAGAAGTAGTAAAAAGGAATCAAGTCCCAAACTTACTTACTTTTCTCTTTTTCTCCCTTTCTCACCCTAGTTCCCCACCTCCCCCACGCCCACAAAATAAACACACCCTCCTCTACTTTCTCCATCTCCTTCTCTGCGTATAGTCCCTCAAGTGTCATTTTCTCACATATACTTCACACAAAAGAAACAACCATTCACTTCATACCTTGTCATTTCTTCTCTCTCTCTCTCCCCTCTCAATCTCAAATCTCTGCAACTACTCCCCTCAATTTGATCCAAAGAAAGAAACCCCAAAAATCGCACCCGAAAAATCCTCAACTCTTTTTGCTTAGATTGTCCAGAACAAACCCCTATAGCTTCATCTTAATTTCTTGATCCTTAACAAACATACACTTCCCAATTGCACTGTACTTACAAGAAAAACGAAAAGAAGAAAGACAGAGGAGATAATTAGGAGACCTATTTAAGAGGCCTCATTTGGCTACTTAAAGATGGAGCTATTCCCAGCACAACCAGATTTATCTCTTCAAATTAGCCCACCAAACAGCAAACCCACATCAACATGGAGGAGAACAGAAGAAGAGATGGATTTGGGGTTTTGGACTAGAGCTTTGGACTCGAGAAACTCTATTTCTTCAATGGCAAAACCAGATACCTGTTTTGAGCTCTCGTTATCTAATCCAAAGGTTTCAGAGCCCAACTCCAACCATTTCCACAATATCCTCCAAAATTCTAAGAACTGTAATGGTAACAATCTCTTCCATTCCTTTCAACAAAACCAATACACACACCATCATCACCAACAAAACCACCTGCATAATCATCATCCAGTGCTCTTTCAACAACAGCAGCAACAGGGACTGAGCCAAGAGCTTGATTTCTTGAGACCCATTAGAGGGATTCCTGTCTACCAAAACCCTCCTCCTTTTCCATTCTCTCATCAAACTTTTGATAATACTTGCTCCCAAGCTTCTTCTCTGGCTGCTAATAACTCTAGTGCCACAAGTTTAAGTCCCTATCAGTCTCAAGGGTCGATGAGATCAAGATTCATGTCTAGGTTTCCAGCTAAAAGAAGCATGAGAGCACCAAGGATGCGTTGGACTACCACTCTTCACGCTCGCTTTGTTCACGCTGTTGAGCTATTGGGTGGCCATGAAAGTATGCTTCATTTTGTTTCTTTTTTCTCCTCTGGCTTTCTTCTTTTCTAGATTCTCATTTTTATCGTTTCCGAATTTTTCCCTTCTTCTTTCACCTTTCCTGTTCATTTTTTTACCATCTTCAATAACAATGAAAAAAAAAAGGAACTTGGAAAAGAAAATTTGACTCATATTTTCCTTTCCTCTTTCCTTGTTCTTCTCATTTCTTTGTTGGGGTTTAGGGGCTACACCCAAGTCAGTTCTTGAGCTTATGGATGTGAAAGATCTCACCTTGGCACATGTTAAATCACATTTGCAGGTAATGAAAGCATACTCTCAACTGTTTTTCCTTCCTGCTTGTAGTGTTCAATCTCCTTTTTGTTAAATAAAAAAAGATATATTGGAAAAAAATCTCTTTGTTTTCTCTCTAACTTTCTAACTAAAACTTATTAGCTCGAGTCAATAGTGTTAAATTGATGCAGTGTTAATTGTACTTCTAAGCAGAATTTGCCTTTCGATAGCATACATTACAGGAACGGTGTTTTATTACACATGTCACAAATTCCAATGTTTCCCTGCAGAGGGTCTCTCAAATCCTTTAAGCACTTATTTTTCTACTAGATCTGATGGTGCTGCTAGCTAATAAACAGCTTTTTGCTTGGAAGAACGAACCAGATGGGGGGGGGGGGGGGTGTCTTATCGATTTCAGGAATCAAGTAAGACAAAGCCCAAGGAATTCAAAACGAGTCATAGCCAAGCCGAGACAAGTTTGCACTCAGTCCATTATTTTTCATTTTAAAAACATTTTCTCTTACATTGAAGAGAAAAAAGAAAAAAAAAACCATCATTGTTCAATGATATGCTACGCAGATGGGTTTATTTATCAGCAGCACTTTTTTAACCATGGTGAATCTCATCCAAGCATGCCACATCACCTATCTACAGACATGGGCTCAACAACCCCACTTTTTTAACCATGCTGAATCTCATTCATGCATGCCACATCACATATCTACACACATGCATTTGTATGGGCAAACAAATGATTCTGTTCAGAGTTCAATTAATCTCACTTTTTACAGTTTGTACTTGCACTTGAATCAAACCATCTCTTGTGTGCGTGTCCTACACAGCATGTTGGTCTCTTTTTCTCGTTTTATCCTTTTCTGTTCCAAGTTTTCGATTTTCTTCTTGCTCTGTTAATCAATGCCCATTTAAGCTTATTTTCGATGCTTCATCACAAAATTAGTCTAATAATATTGTTTCTGAAATTTTAATGGATGCAGATGTATCGAACTGTGAAGACCACTGATAGAGCAGCAGCTCCTTCGGGTTAGTGCTTTTCCCTAAATATGCTTTCTTTTATGTTTTAGCTTCATGAAAGTTTTCAGTGATTAGATATTCGTAGGCAACAATATTATTAATGAGCATTGTGTTAATCAATGTTCCTTAATTACGTTGGTCTTAATTAATTACTGGCCCTATCCCTATCCCTCTTCTTTTTTGTTTGTTTGATATCGTGTACGTACAGCGCAATCGGACGTGTTCGATAATGGATCATCTGGAGATACTTCAGAAGATTTGATATTTGACACTGAAAATCCTAGAAGGTCAGAAATGTCAATGCAACAGGGAAGACCAAATGCTCACCAGGACAAGGACTATCAGGCTCTCTGGAGCAACTCTTCAAGGTACCACTGCTGTACCATGCTTATTAATCTCTTCTCTACCCTTTGATGTCCTGGGTTAGTTACAGAATGCATGCTTTAGTGGAGAATAAAAGGACAGATAATAGTAATAATAATTAAAAAAAATAACAAACAAATGGATTTTAGAACAAGCATTAGGAATTTGTGATGTCGTTCCCAGTTTCTAATTTTTTCTTTCCTTTTTTCAGATCGATCTTTAAGGTAATTAACAAAGGCAAGATTTAAACCTGAATTCTTCCCCTCTTACAATTGTTTTAATCGCTAAGGGTATTTCGTAACACCGACTGTCCATTTGCCTATATAAGTAATCGACTTGCCGTCTTGGTCAGCGATTATTTTTCTTTCTAGAAGTAAGGAAGGCCCAAGAGCACTTAAATTAAGACAATTATGATTTATAAAGAAAAGTTTGGATTACTTCCATGTGGTAAGGACAAAACAGATGAAAATTGCATGGCTCGTTATACTAGGTATCCCATCTTCCATGTTCTTGTCACTCCTCTCCTTTCTTTCTCTCTCTTGGGGAGGGGGGGGGGGTTTCAAATTAATCTAGCTAGCTTCTCTGGATCTTCTTAGCCTTGACGCTGCGTTCCTTAATCTAGATTCATTAGGGATGATTAATGTAAAAATGGGATTATGCATGTTACACATGAGGTTAAAAAATAAAAAGATCACTCAAGTACTGGTTCTACTACCATATCCCGCCTCTCTCTCTGCTCCACATCACAAGATTATATATCAAAAACCGTAACCACATGCAAGAAAACACAAAAAGAGGAAGAAATGATTTCACCGCATTGTTCTGTCTGTCCACGACCATCATGAAGACTGGAACACCATGATGGGGTAATTATACTCTTCCTTGTAGCAGTGGGTAAAAAGGAAGTTAAAGAATCCACCCACTCTCCTACCATTATTCCAAGACATGGGAATCCCATTTGACAAATCCTCCTAAAAAATGGAGATATCTCTTTCCTTCGGATTTTGTGGGCTCTGATAGAGAGAACTATTAAATGGGGCCTACAGTTAGAATACTTAGTGTCAAAGATAAACCCTGTGATGGCCCCATTATTGGAAAATCGTGGTGCCAAAGTTATATGCCCTTTGAGACTTCCTTGCTATCTGTTGCTATGTGTCATGGGCTATCACATGGGTGAGCTCAACTTTATCTTCAATCAGCACAAAGAAAAAAATGTAAAGCGAAGGGAACTATAAACAAGACAGTAAAAGATTGCTTTCTTTTCTTAGTTTTGCCTTTTATTCTCTGCATAGCTTCCACTGATAGGAAATATTCTCTCAATCCGTTGGTTTTTAGCAGGGAAGCTTGGTTGCATGGGAAATTAAAGGATTCTGGCGGAAACTTACCACCTCTTGAGGTACCAAAATTTCAAATCTTTCTTTCCTATAATGTCCATGAGTTTCAAGATGTTGTATCCAACACATAAATGTTCTGTTGCTGGAACGGGTGAAGAAAAGCAGATTTGTTCTTTTCTCTCTTCCCCAAGCCCTACCCATTGGAAAGATACAAGAAAGGCAAGGGCTTTCCATATTCTTTGCTTAGGTTATCCACAAGTTGAAGGGGAATTAAGTAATTTTAAAAGATTATTTAAGGGATGGATAATAATTTTTTTCCTTTATCACAGGGGAGAATAGTTATATATATATATATATATAATATGGAAAACCTTTTTTTTGAATAAAAAAAAGGAAGGAAGGAAGGGTATTTCCATGCTCATGATTAAACAAAACCCCAAAGACACCTTAAACCTGAGCACTCCTTGAATTACCAGCACCATTTTGTTGACCTGGATATATATGGTTCAGATCTATACATACATATAAAAGAGAGTTAGTAGGTGGAGTCAAATATATAATTACACAGGTCAGATTATACATATTCATAAAATAATGCTAGTAAATAAGTGTACTGTTAGGTACTCGTATTGGGAAACGCACAGTGGTCACCCTTTGGCAGTCTTTCAAAATGCACTCCTAGCCATACTTCTTTTTCTTTGATAAATATTCTATTATTCCCTGAGTCAAATGTCCTTTGATTCCCACCTTCACACACTTCCCTTGTGCTACTCTGCTCTATGTGATTTATTGCCCTAGCTACAGCTACCATTTGTTTTCTTTTAATGGTTTCTCATTTCAGTTTTGAAAAACTTTTTTGTTTTCTCTTACAGCAGAAGGGCATGGATCCAAAGTGTTTGAGCTATGAGAAAATATCAGATGTAAGCTCATCAACCGTTTCTGGGACAAGCCCCATGAAGCCTAATTTGGAGTTCACTTTGGGCAGGCCACATTGAAGTTATCCACTCTATACTACTCATTTTGAATCATTATTATCTCTGAGGGGATGCTGGTGAAGAGAATCAGGTACCCAGGTGAGAAAATCAGAGCTAAAGAAAAAGAAAAGAAAAGGAAGAAAAAAAAGAAAAGAAAAGGAGAGCTAAAGAATGACAAAGAGACAGGAAAGACAGAAAGCAACAAAAGGTGAAGAGTGGAAAAGGCATGTCCTTCAGATCAAGCAGTGAAATCCAAATCAACATATTATATTCCTACGTAAATATGAGATCTAATTGATTTTGTATGTTATTGCACTCTCGGAGAAAAAGAGAACGAGAGAGAGAGAGACCTTTAGAGAGAGATAGAGAGAGAGACCTTTAACTATCTCAAAGTATAAAGCGATCCTTGGTAATTGTAATGGAGCACTTTACATTAATATAGAATATTTTCATATTTTTACCAAAGAGTTGGGGCTCTATTTTCATTCCTAGGCATTGTCGCATGCTTTATACCCTACGAACAAAGGAAAAGAAAGACTTTGAGAATATAAGCCAGGAAAGCATTCGAAATAAAGGCATGGGAAAACTGAAATTGCAATATCCAGAAGAAAAATAATTTTTCCACGTCGTCTTTTTATAAACGTTTGCAATTATTAGTGATTGAAATGGTTAGAAAAATAATAAATTATATTTTAAAACTTTACCTAACAGTTTAAATAATTATATTAAAATAATTTTTTAATATGATATCATAATCTTATTGACTAAGCAATTATACATTTAAATATCATTATTTTTATTTTATTTAATAAAAAATCAAGCACGAGACAGTTTGTACCATTATAAATTTCAAGTTCAAAGAGTTTTTACTTGAAAATGTGTATTATAAGATTATATAAATGATTTTTATTTTATGTTTGGTAGACATTATACTAAATAAAACAACATACTATAATGTCAATAATTTTCTTGTCTTGTCTAATATTTAAAGTATAGATTATAACATATATTTTAAAAACAAAATTATTTTTTAATCTAATGAATAACTATATATTTTTTAAAAATCATTATTAATATTTATTTAAATATTATCTCATTATAAAAAAAATTCATGATTTTTTATGTTAATTTTTTTTGAATAATCATCTAGAGTATACTGAAAAAAGCCATAAAGCAAATAGTCAAAGCAAAATACAGGAATATGACAAAAAAAAGAGAAAAAAAGGAATAAACTTAGAGAAAAAAAAGACTGATCTGCCACAACAAAAACAAAAAGACTATCTAAGATTTCTTATTACACCACAATTTAATGCTATTAGAAGATTTTAAAAGGTCATTTCTGGTATAAGTGAAGTTTGAATCCAGAGTATGCAACGAAATAGCAACTCGATGATGGATAGCAGAGCAATAATCAAACAATCTTATAGCTCTCTCCTAAAAAATAATTTTGTTCCTCAACAACCAAATACCTTAAGTAGTATTATTTGAGATTAGTCTCCAAACTAACCTTTAGAATTTTCCTTATACCATTTTGGGCTTTTGCAGAAGCAATGAGTCCAAAGTGCTCATCAAATAACATTGGATACCACACCAATACAGAACTTTAATCTAAACACTTCTAAAAAAGTTACAATGTATAAAAAGGTGCTTTGAAGTTTCCAGATCTGAGCTGCAAAAGACACAAGAAGCTTAAGTGGCAGTCAAAACATTCTAGTGATGGAGAGAAGTTCTTGTACTAACTTTGTCCTAAACTGCTAACCAAAGAAACACTTGAACTTTTGGAGGCCTCCTTTTAATCTTAATGTTGGCTATAAAAACTCCACCGTTAGCAGAAAATGTATTATCAATTAGGGTGCAACAAGACTTAACTGAGAAGCTTCTATCAGAATTACATATCCATTTAATTGTGTCATCTTTTTCGTGCTGTATTATCATTGGCCTTAATATTGAGAGAAAATGATGATATTGTTGTTGTTCATAAAATAAGAGGTTCCAGTTATAAACCAAATTCGATCGCTAATGATCATTCATTCATTAACCCATCTCATGAACCAAACCATTTTGAATAACAAAAACTTTATAAAGCTCGGGGAAAATCCTATGTAAAGCATTTGATCTTATTCGCACATTAGACGAAAAGAGAATGGAGGACCTATCACCAATCATGAATTTAATATTTTGGCATAAAACTAAGCTGATAACATTGTTTGGATCCAAGATTGACAAAATATCTTTTCACAATGGGGAAATATGACCATGCAATTTTGGAATTCCATTCTCGAATTATGGAGATAAAAATGGGATGTTACTTGTTTGCATAAGGCAAGGCTTGACGAGCTTAGCCTCCATATCTATTTGAAAAGCATGAATATATTTTTAGATATTACCCAACCCAAGGCCTCCTTATTTTCTAGCTTTCACCACAATGCGCCTTTCTACCTTATAAATTTTCATCTATTTCACAACCCCAAACCACAAGAATCTTCATTGAATGAAGGTCAGGATATTATAGACACCTTTTGGCATAAAAAAAGAAAAAAAAACATATAATTGATTGGCAACAAACTCACGACACTTTTGATTAGGCAAATATGCCTTGCCATACTCAGCATGCAACCTCCCCACATGCTCAACTTTCTTTTGAAATTCTCAATAATAGGTTTTCATATAGACAAACCTTTAGGATTGGATCCTAAATGCATGCCTAGGTAAGAGCAAGGCAATGAATCAAATCTATAAAAGATCAAAGATGTTGTACTAACACAAGTATCTTCCCCAACATTTATGCCAATTAAAGAGGTTTTGTGGAAGTTGATAGCGAACCACAACATAATTCTTTTTACTATTTTGACAATGTAAAGATTAACAGACATGAAAATCAAAGCATTGTCTACATATACAGATGACTAAGGTAGAAGTTATCTCTAAAAGGAATACCTTAAAAAAGATTAGTTATAGTTGCTCTCTGATATAAAATAGATAACCCCTCTGTTTTAATGGGGAAAAGGGGTTACCTTGGCGAATCCCAGTGCCCATTAATCAACACTGATAATTTTACAATGAAGATGCAAGTGTTGATCAAATGAATTCACTTTTCAGCAAAACTCATTTTTCGAAAGCTTTGTGAAAATCCACCTTAAAGATAAGGCTCAGCACCTCGTATCTTTTCAAGGAATGAATTGCTTCATTAGCAACCAAAAACCCATCAATTATTTGCCTCCCTACCAAGAAAGTTGTTTGACTCTCACTAATAAGGTTATGCATAAATGTTTTCAAATGACTAGAAAAAAACTTAACCACCATCTTGTAAATGTCGTGAATTAAACTAATAGGTATGAACTCTTTGAAGCCAACCATGGAAGCTATCTTTGAAATTAGGTGGACATAAGCATGATTGACTCCTTTTAAAAGCCTACCTATTTTGAAAAAAAATTCTTACCAAGATCTAAGTAATCATCTGCAATAAAATCCCAAGCAAACCCGTAGAATTTGAAATTGAAACCATCTAGACTAGGATTCTTGCTCCCATCATAGTCCCAAACACTCTACTTTAATTTTTTCAAAGTGATATCTCGCTCCAAAATTGTTAAAGAAGAGGCCATAAGTGTTTTAAAACCAACAAGCCTTAAACCAATTTGGAATCTATCGGGGCCTCTGAATAGGTTGGAGAAGTTTTTTTTATGTTAATTAACATGTAATTTTTATGTTAATCACCTCTTTAAGCTCTTATATTAAATTAATTGTAAAAAAAAATAATCAATAAAATCAAACCCATAAATAAAACATAAAGAAAAAAACATTACTTTAAAAATAACAATAATATCCAAAGGAAAAGAAACAACATTATCGGTGAATTACTTTTTCAACCATAATTATTTTTAGAAATATCAAAATAAAAAGAAAACAAAGCATTCAACTACTAAGTTGAAGATCAGAAATAGAAGCGATATAATTTTTTTGTGAGTTATACGCTTAAGGACTAAACTTCTTATTATAAAGTTTGCTAAGGACATGGAGAGTAGTGACTAATCCAATGAAGCAAAGACTCTTCACCAGACTATAATGAGCGCGATCTTTAAGCTTGGTGCATCGTTGATGTAGAATTGAAACATGTTGTCATAACCTATTTCTGAATTCCTGTATAAAAAGAAAACAATTGAAAAGAAAAGAAAAAATAATTAAACCAAAGATCAAAAAATATTATAAAACATATGACAGCGAAAAGAGAATGTAAGAGCTCCCTAGAAATAGTTAAAAATTGGTTTAGGAGTTTTAAAATTACAAAAATTAAAATTTGATAGTATTTTGTTGACTAATGAGAGCTCTGTTAACAAATAAAATTAATTTAAGAAAAACAAATCCAAAATTAAATGCGCGTGAGTGTACCCCAACCCAACCTGGGGTTGAAAACCCAAAAAGAAATAGCTCTATTTTGGGTTATGACTTTTGTGCATTATTTTTTAAATGAGGTTGATTTGAGAAACTATGACCCATCAAGCATTATTTTTTGAATGAGGTTGATTTGAGAAACTATGAACCATCAATGGTGTGGGCTTTTTTTAAGAATGCTTTCTTTACTTTGGCGTTTTAGTTTCCTGTATACTTTTTAATTTGCATTAAGTTATCAAAATACCACATAGAGAGATTTTATGGCATTCAAATTATAACTAGTAGCACTCATAAATTAAAGTTTGATGTCATTAATTCATATGTTACGTCATCATTTTTTTCCATGTCAACAACTCTAAAAAATCACTAATTTAATTAAGAAATTTTATTCAAATTTATCTCTTTCTTCCTCTTTGTATCTTCTAATTCACTAAAAAATCATTAATTTTGTTAAATTTTGCATTGATATTTGTAGACATTTAGTTTAACAATGAAGGACTCTTTTTTAAAAGAAGTTTTTTTAATGTAAGCACAAAGTAATCTTTTGAGTTTCACAAACAATTCCAACTTAAGAAAGTCTTCTTTTATATTTTTCTTTATGAAACTTATATATGTCTTCAATGTTATGAGACTATATAAAATTTAAGAATATATTTGTAAATTAATCTAAATCTAATAATTTATTGATTACTGGAATCACATCTTCTAAAACAAGTTTTACTGTACAAATTAAAACTTGCTTTTATTAGCAAGCAGGGCATTAGGAAACACTTTTTTAACTTTTTTTATGTGCAAAATAAAGGTTGTCAACATAATAATTTCTTTTTTTATATAATAGATATTTTTGTTGGCTAAAGCAAGGGCGAAACCAGGGGAGGGCAAGCAGTGGCCTAGGCCCCTGCAAAAAATTTTAAAATTTTTTTAATTTAATATTTTTTAATTTAAATAAATAAGTTTTTTAATAATTTATATTATTATATTAATTTTAGCCTCCCCTGTAAAATGCACTTGGCTCCGCTTCTAGGCTAAAGTACTTGGAGATAGAAACTTATTGTATAGATAAATCATTCTTGTAT